GACGACACATCTTTTTAATAGATTATAGTGTATTAGGATGTCACAAGAAGTTCTGACCCTTTTAAATCACGTTTGTCTTGAAATTAGTCGAATCTTTCAGCTACGCCCTGTATACGTATTTACGCGTGTATTGTAATCGTATAGTATTCGAGATGACGTATAGTTAATACCTGTTTAGTGTATATGGTTTTTGGTATCTGATAGTATGTAAAACAGTTGTGGAGGATGTTCATAGAATTACAGAAATAATCTCCTTTGTTTTCAGATCGCTGTGATAAAAAAAAAAAGAAAAAAAAACAATGAACCAAGAAACACGTGTTTTTAAAAAATATGTAACTTTGTATACGAATAAATTTAATTTAATTTACTGTCCCTCGTACCCTGCCACTGTTGAGTTCACACCCGTAAACGTATTTTCAATAGAACATACACCGAAATGTGTTTTGAAAAAGTTTTAATACCTATGTAAGAATTTAGATGTCCGGCACATAGGTGACACGGTGATATATATATAAATTATACAATGTACATATTATAAATAATACATATTTATTTGTTATTGGTGTCCGCCGTACCTATGATGGAGTGGTTTGGACACAGTATTTCGATGTGTGAGGTCTCGAATTTATTTTATAAGCACACGGACCGCTTCAAAGCTATACGTGGAAACGGTTTTGAAGATCTCAAATCGACGATAAAGGAAGGAGAAAAATTATTTAAAATCGCGAGAAACAATGCAAAGGACAAACTTTTACGTCCTACAGAACGTGTGCAGGATCCAGATTGCGTACAGTTAAATATATTTTATAATAATAATAACAATAATAGCGATAACAAGACATGTATTAGTTTTGTGATTTTGTACACGAGAATAATATAGTAATCGAAAAACAGTTTTCTGTTTTTGACAATATTACAGTGAATACCATCACCTTTCAATACCGGCTTCGACGTAGGTATATATAAATGTATAACACTTGTGTGTGTTTGGGTTAGGCATAAAGATTTTATTTTCGTAACCTTCGTACGATATATTAATATTATATTTCGCGTGATGTGTACACGAGCATAAGCGTGTGCACGGGGTAGTCATGGTAGGCACTTGATTATTCTGTGAACCTTTCCTCTCTCACCAAAATATATAAATACCAAAAATAATAAATATTATCACGACGACAATAAATAACAATATAATGTTCAACCACTTCGAAACGTCCGTAAACAGTAAATACACGTATAAAAATAACGGAAAAATATAATTATTAAGTTTAATGAAGTTACCCCATCCAAATTTGTTATTAACATTAAATGTCAATGTGTTATGTATGACTACCCTGGCAGTAATGACTATGCGCGCTTGTATACACGACAGAGCCGCACCTAGCCATTTTTTATCCTGAGGCAGAACTGAAGCAATGCGCCCACTATGTTGTAGGGTTGTCACCAGGGGCGTATTTAAAAATGTCTTATGGGGGGGGGGCACAAACAAAAAGTTCAAAGTATACATAGTTATAACTTTTTCACCTCGAAAAACTGTCTTTATTCATAACCAAATAATCAAAATATAAGTGTTTGATAGAAACATAACATTTTATTACAAAAATTTATAATAAAACATATTTTTAAATATAATTTTTGTAATTATAATAACTGATAACGTCTGGGGTGTTTATTAGCATACGCATCAACTACTTTTTCAGGTTTTATAATTATTTCAAGGTAAAAACAACGTAATTAAACAACGTTAATCCGTTTAATCGATGGTATCATATTATCATGATATATTGATATTTCAGTATTTGAACGTGTACCCGTGCGTGAAAAATAAGAGGGCCTACAATAATAAAGTATAAAATACGGTGAATGGGGGAGGGGGGAACGGGCCCCATGGGCCCATCCTTTAAATACGCCCCTGGTTGTCACACTTACAGCTTTTAATATGTATAATACGATTTGAATAAATCTGAAACATTGTAATTAGGTTTCTAGCAAAACAAGAAATAACATTTCTTAAAATAAGTTAATTATTTAATACTTTTGCGCCCCCCAGCTCCAGACGTCCAAGGCAAGTGCTTCGCTTGCCTCACCCTAAACGGCTATGGTACACGAGTACACATGAAGACCGACGTTAAAAATATTCAATACTCGTACAAATGCACAGACCGGTTGTAAAGATGCAAGACGTGAGATGCGATTCTCAGACGAAAACATATGGACGATATGTCGAAGCTCGGGAGCTCGAAAGTACGCGCGGTCACTACGTCACGGGCACCGGTTCGCGTTCGACTACCAAGTACGAAAAAACGGGTCCTTCGTCCACACGCGGGCACATACGCAGGTACGTATTTACATATCGACACGTGTACACGTGTTCGTCGGTCCGGAACAAACTCCGGTAGATATGCTTGACCGTACGGTGGCGATCGGTCCGTGCGCGAAACGTCCGAAAAAGACATCCGTAACGACGACTGGCAGCTGTTATGTACGGTCGATGCGTTTTCCGGGTAGAACTCGCGTTGCACGATTGTTGCAAGTTTGTTGCAAACGCGTGATGGAAAAATCGTCGGTTCACGTTTATTGTCCGCTATTGCGTGCGCTCGTCAAACGTGAACGAATCTAGTCAAAGAATTTACATTTCGTCCTCGATACACGTTACCAGCGTCTACGTGGAATCTGCCCGCAGCTCTTAGGACGTCGTTTAGGATCGTTAAAACGAATGACGGATTTGAGCTTCTCGAATATCCTTTCCAGATCACGCGTTGCGGCGGTACGGGGTTCGCGGGTGGTAGCCGATACCTCTCTATTCTCAGACGGGCACGTCACGGGCGTCGTTCAGGCGATAACTACTAAATCGCTAAGACTAACTGTGTTATTATACCGGTAGTCGGCGGTGATCGGGCATTTTTGTGCATCGGCTGTGTTTTTCGAAATGTTCCCAAGCGTTTGTGAACCGGGCATATTGAAAAGGTACACGTAATCGTGGTACCGAGGTTAGAGCTTGTTCGAAATTCGGTGTACGTCTGCACCGGGGACTGCACTCGAAACGCAATGGCCGTTTACAATGATAATTAAACGATTTTGTTCCCGTAACGATACACAGAGCCGGCGTAAGGGGCGTGCAGGAAGTGTAGCTGCTCTTGAGCACTCATTGAGCACCGAGCTTAATTGGCCGCTAAGTATCAGCGGCCGGTGTAATTATGCGTTGCAATTACGAGTAAGATAAGATTACATACATATTTCACTGTTGATTTTTGTGTGCATGCATAATATATTGATATTGCTATCGGGAGCTAAGAAATACGGAACACACGTGTGCTTGGGACGGAGGTCAAACACGTACTGTTAAGACTATTTAGTTTTAAGTAATAATAAGACTTCTCAAAAAAAAAAAATTTTAACCAATGTGTTTTTATTATTTTATATCGAAATATGATTTGAAAAAACATTATGTATATATTTATAATTTCATATTGTGAAGCAGGATTGTTTTTTTTGACGATCCAAGAAATTCAAATAACAAATGAATAAATGAATTGTTTAATTATATATAATTATGGACACATTTAGCTGAATTTAGAATTTAAACATTAGTCGAAAATTGTTCAGGAAAATAAACTAGTTCGTTATTACAAACATATTTCGAAAGGAGATTACAAAAATAGCGTTAAAAATTCTAAAACGATATCATATTATAAAATTAATATATAAATTTTTTTTTGAAATTAGTAAACTTCTCCACGACACAAAGTTCCATTAATAAATGAATTCAATTAAGATTTCAGCCTTGCAAAATTATTGATTTATGATTATTTTTCTTATTTGATAACCTCTTTACTTATAAACTTAAGCTTATTTGTACAAAAAGTAAAAAACAAGTATGCTGTTTTTAATTGTAGAAGAAATGTTATTTTATTTGGTGTTATGTGAATTTATTTGGTATATAATTCCATAGGAATAATATAATCTATAGATATTATATAATTCCATAGAATTTATATAATCCATAATTTGTATAAAATTCCACTGTTTATGCAATAATTACGTAACATGTGCGGACGCTTGGTATCTTATCTTATTAAGATTACTATTCATATTATTATTATTATTTAAATGAGATATCGAGTTTGTTCGCACATGTTACGTAGTTAATTAATGTATTATTTTTATTTTTAATTGTCACCGAATTTCGGATTGTCGTCACCAGGCTAAATCCATCGCGCCAACGGACGCCGTTATCGGTGCACCTACCTATAAAAGGCACGGTGGCGTGATGGAAAGTCACCATTTACTGTCTCTCCGGTGTTGTAGTAAGACCTTCCCAGGCAGACTTACACAACATTGGAAGATAGTATCCCCCCGACCTCGACGAACGATATATTTATGTTGGTCAGTGGTGTAATAGTCAGAGTTACTCTGGCATTGCATCGATCAGCATAACCATCGGTTTATGGGGCAATATTCAGAGTAATTCCGGCATTGAACCGACTGAAGTATCGTTCGTTCGAGGTCTTTATTCCCGTCGATGCGACCTATTCGTTATTCGTATAAGCTCTCCGAGCACAAATATATTATTCGTATCATTAAAGCTCTCCGAGCACAATTCTTAGAAAAAAAAAAAAACACACAATTTTCTTAATCATTAGTGTTTCTTCTTTTTTTGTGCGTTTTTCTGAACGTTACATTTTGGTCCTTCGAGCCGGATTACTTTAAAATATTTCAAGCATAAATACTGTCGTTCCTCCTAATACTCGTTACCCGAGCATTATATACATCCTTTCGTCGACGACAGTACTGCATATCGCAATAAGTCTTCAGGTTCAATCGCCTACATAGAGGCCAAGGTGTGTGTGAATTGTGCTATCAAATGGATCACAGGTTTTATACAAGCTTCTGTTGATTTTAACCAAGACCGTTCCAACGTCGCAAAACGTGTTAAAGTCTCTCGGATGATTAGCGAAATAAATGAGATAAGTCAACATGTAGAGGCAGACATCCAAATTATGGAAACAACTGTTGCAAATAAAACGGCACCACTTGATGTAACAGACTTCACTACAACTCAACAACTTAGTGAATCATTTGACTCTCTATATTATGAGATAGCAGCATTCGCCGAAGTTCATAAGTTTTCAACATCAACTTTCAATCAATCAACTCTAGAACAATCACAAAACTCTAGCACTATGGCGGCATTCCAAATGCCCAAACGGAAATTCCCAACCATCTCGGGCATAGTAACGGAATGGCAAGGATTTGAGGACCTATTCAATTCAATTCTGTCGCATGCACCAGATCTACCAGACGTAGAAAAATTTGAATACCTGAAAACGTCCCTTCAAGGTGAACCATCATCTTTAATCGCACATCTTTCGATAAATGCTGCCAACTACCTAAGCGCTTGGGCAATCTTACGTTCACGTTACGGGAATAAACGAGATCTTGCTCGTATATATTTAGATGCTTTATTGACGCCACATGTAGTTAAAATTGATAATTCCGCTTCAATCAAAACATTCATAAATACAATTCACGAACATACAGCGGATCTTGACAATCTAAACTTTATTACTCGTCAGTGGAATCAAAGCCTTATATACATCTTTGAAAAACAATTAGATTACGAACTTCGTTCCCGTTGGGAAATACAAGTTGGAGATACAGTGTCACCCACTGTTACTGAATTAATTGATTTTCTCCGAAGTCATATCAGAGCAGCTGAAATACAAGGAGAAGGCCTTTTGGCATTCAGAATACATCGAGTTAAAACTGATGCAAAAAAGCAAAATCCACGTTCCACTCCAACCCATAGATTTCTAACCACTGGAATAAGCATGGAAACATGTTTATTGTGCAAGGAATCACACAAGCTCAGGCAGTGTTCAAAGTTTGTTGCCAAAACACCAGGTGAACGGTTTCAAATTGTAAAGGAACGAAATTTGTGTCTTAATTGCTTACTGCCAAATCACAGTACAACGTCATGTAATTCAAAATTCACTTGTCGGATATGTAAACAGAAGCATCATTCAATGCTTCATTTCACTAAAATCACGCCACATTCCAGTGATAAAACAAGCATCAATATTCAGACACCAGCAAACAATGTGGAATCACAGATTACAACATGCCTCGTGTCCCAATCAAAGCGTCCCACTGTGCTATTAGCCACAATGCTAATCAAAGCCAAGGCTTCAGATGGATATCATCAAATATTACGTGCACTGGTTGACAGTGGATCAGAAGCCAGCTTTATAACAGTAAGCTGTGCTGACAAATTGGCATTACCTCTTCGTCGATGTTCAGCACAAATTCGTCCATTTGCTGGTTCACCTATTAGTATTGTCTCAGGCATTATTACGGTCACGTTGTCGGCACACTCTATACCTGAACCGACCGTAACAATTGACGCTATGACCGTTCCAAAAATCATAGATAAAACTCCGAGCTGCAATTTAACGTCAACTACATGGCTACACCTAAAGAATCTACCACTAGCGGATCCAACATATAAAATACCGGGTTCAATTGACATTTTATTGGGAGCAGACATCCTACCCTCTCTCGTAACAGGCGATCGAGTAGCCGGAAAACCGTATCAACCCGTTGCATTTAATACGCTATTTGTTTGGGTAGTCTTAGGACAAGCCAACCAATCACCATCACCTGTTGGTGACTTGTCACTTGTGACACCAGTCACAACATTTACAGTTCAGTCCAACGCAGAATTAGAATCCTCATTGACACGCTTTTGGACACTCGAAGAACCGTCATCACCATCACCTTCATCAATCGAGAACACAGACCCAGCAGAACAAGTTTTTTTGTCATCGGTTACCCGAACTACATCCGGGCGTTTTTGCATCGAGTTACCGTTCAAAACACCAAAACCAATTATTGGTGATTCAAAAGGGCAAGCACTTCACCGTTTTCGACACCTTGAGTGGAGGTTATCCAAAAACGACGAGATACGAACCAAATATAAGGAATTTATGCAAGACTATCTAGATAGTAACCATATGGAAATCGTTCCAGTCCAGCAGCGTTACACGCCATTTCATTATTATATTCCACATCATTACATTTTACGACCCGATAGTCAAACCACTAAACTGCGAGTTGTATTTGATGCGTCAGCCAAAAGCTCCACCGGAATTTCTCTCAACGATTGCCTACACACAGGTCCGAAAATGCAAGCTGATTTGTCTCATATTCTAATGCAATCACGTGTACACCGAATCGTATTCACTGCCGACATTAACACGTTGAGTGCCAGTGTATTTATGATGCGCATATAGTAAGTTTCCGCGCCAAAACTGAGCCGCGACGCCGTCGGTTGACTACGTGTCGACACCGGTTCTGCGCGCCGTGCACCGTAAAATTGTTATTTAAATATTATAAAAAAAATTATTTTCTGTACGAATATATACTATATTATCAAGGTTATTTTTTTAAAAAGTAATCAATAATTTATTGCCACACTAATTAATTTTAAAATTTTAAAAAAAACAATCAATAAAATGTAATAAATACAAAATTTACATGAAAAACAAAATTATTTACGTATAATATAAGCTGTTAAAAAATAAACAGATTTTTAATTTTTGGAAAATAAAACGAATCATTAACATAATATTAAATTAATTATAATTATGTAAAAATATGAATGTAGAGTGTACCATAGTATGCGTACATAAATATAGGTACATTTATTGTTATTGTACATCCGAGCAAGATACACCCTGTAGATTATTAAAATAAACTAATACTATTTCGTCAGAATATTATTAACAACGAAAATAATATGATATCAATATATTATCGGAAATAGCACAGCCGCGTAATCGGTATTGCCGTCGCCGTCGTCATCATTCGGGAAAAATTAATTAAAACTCGCTAAAAATAGCTACGCAAAATCCAAATATACCATTGAAATCACCACATCCTACTGAATAACCACATAAAAATATTGAAACATTGCGTCTATAACCGATCAAATAATACACCCATAAAGATATACATAACATTTGTCGACTACGCGTCGACAGCGGTCCCTGAGACCGTGTGACAGTTGTCGACTACGTGTCGACCGTGGCATTGAACGTGTTAAACAAATGTACAGACAAATCCTCATCGCAGAAACTGACCGGAACTATTTACGGATCTTGTGGCGATTCAACGAACAAGATTCCATCGAAGAATATCGTTTACGTACAGTAACTTACGGCACATCATCAGCTCCATTCCAAGCAATCCGAACTGTAAAACATTTATCAACACTTGGAGAAGGCACTTACCCAATAGCATCTCAAATACTACAATGCGATACCTTTGTCGATGATATTTTCACTGGTGCAGACTCTGTTTCATCAGCGCTTAACAGTCAAAAACAATTAAATGACTTGCTATCAAGTGGTAAATTTGAACTTCGAAAATGGGCGAGCAATACACCTGAGGTAGTTAATGCCGTTCCGGAAGCCGCACAATCTAAGTCACCTTCGGTTCATTTTGATGACGAGTGTGATACAGGAATTAAGGTACTTGGTTTACATTGGGACCCACAACATGATCATTTTCGATATGCAATACGTTGCTTGGACGTAAAGCCCACCAAAAGAAATGTATTATCAGAAATAGCACGTATCTTTGATCCTCTTGGGGTTTTGGCACCTGTCACGTTCTTAACCAAACACCTGATGCAGCAATTATGGACAGCTGGAATTGGATGGGACGACGTTATTCCACCCAAAGCTTATGCAATCTGGCAACAATATCGTGATCAACTACCTTGTCTTCAGAAACTCTGAATACCTAGACGCATCACAACCAACACTTATGACTCAATGGAACTCCATGCTTTTGCAGATAGCTCAGAAAAGGGATACGCTGCCGCTATTTATTTACGAACCATATCATCAAATGGCATCACTTGTCACCTAATTACAGCGAAAACTAAAGTGGCCCCACTAAAGCGTGTGACTATTCCACGATTAGAACTGTGTGGTGCACTACTGGCAAATACATTATTAAAAACTGTTCAAGTCGTGTTATCACCCGTAATTAGCATTACACGTACATATGCTTGGACTGACTCAATGACAACTTTGGCTTGGATTAGATCTTCACCTCATCGATGGACAACCTTTGTCGCCAATCGAGTTAGCCAATTGCAAGAGTACACCGCCCCATCTATATGGAGGTACGTTCCGACAACCGTCAATCCGGCGGATTGTGCGTCAAGAGGCCTCTTTCCAGCTGACATACTATCACATTCTCTATGGTGGGCAGGACCAACATTCCTTTATAAAGATTCAAATGAATGGCCTTCAGAAAAAACCCTCAACGATGACAACATGGCACATCCAGAATCCAGACTTACGGTCACATTAGTAACAACGCCCACGAATAATTTTCTTAGTCATTTGTTAAATCGATTTTCATCATTATCCAAAATTATAAGAATAATTGGGTATTGTCGTCGATTTAAAACACACCACCACCTAACAACGATCTTAACACCAGTGGAACAAAATGAGGCGCTGAATATCATCATCAAATCAGTTCAACAAGATGCCTTTTATGATGATATACGCCTTCTGTCAGCGAAGAAATTATGCAGCCTTCGTCTTCGTAGACTAAGCCCCTTCCTTGATTCCTCGGGTATTCTACGAGTAGGCGGACGCATCATGCATGCATCACTTCCATACAACCAGAAGCATCCAGCTTTAATTCCAAAACGGCATCCATTCACGGTATTACTTATTCACCACTACCACAAAGAAAACCATCACCCCGGAGCCACTACACTTCAACAATTAATTCAACAACAATTTTGGATCATGTCAGTACGCCAAGTGATACGATCGCAATTGCGTTTCTGTATTCCTTGCTATCGAGTACGTCCCAAAGCCGTCCAACCAGTAATGGGAAACCTGCCAAAGTACCGATTGCAGCAGATCAAGCCATTTCATCAAACAGGTATAGATTATGCAGGCCCTATTAGTTTAAAGGAACGTCGATCTCGTTATTCTCAGATCAAGCAGGCATATATTTGCTTATTTGTGTGTATGAGTACAAGGGCTCTGCATATTGAGGTTGCGTCCGATTTAACAACCGAAACGTTCCTTATGGCATTCACCCGTTTCGCTGCTCGCCGAGGACCAATCCAGGCAATATACATTGATTGTGGTACCAATTTTGTGGGAGCATCTCGACTGTTCAAATCAGTTGATGAATATCAAAACGCTATAACCAATCATCTTGCCACACATCATATTCAATGGCACTTCAATCCACCATCAGCTCCACACTTCGGAGGTTTATGGGAAGCAGGTGTCAAATCCGTAAAACAACTGTTATACCGATCCATAGGAAACCACCGATTGACCAGCGAAGAATTAAATACGTATCTAACGCGCATCAAGGCAACTCTAAATTCCAGACCGTTGGGTGCGATGAGCAACGATCCCGCGGATTTCAACGTACTAACTAACGCCTAACCATTTTTTGACCCAGGAACCCAGTACTACTATCCCAGATCCAGATCTGTCAACCCTTCCACTATCTAAGATGCAGCGCTGGCGGCTCATCCGAGATATCCATCAACATTTCTGGAGTAAGTGGAAAAATGACTTTATTAATACTTTGCAACAACGCTTAAAATGGACAAAGTCCAATGGAACCTTGCATCAAGATGATCTAGTTCTCATCAAGGAACCAACCAACTCACTTCAATGGAGACTTGGTCGAGTCATGCAACTTCACCCAGGAACCGATGGAATAAACCGTGTTGCTACTGTCAAAACCGCTATTGGATCATTCAAACATCCCACCAACAAGCTCTGTCCACTTCCACAACTTTAAAGGCGGATGCCTTTAAGGTGGGCAGTATGTTTATGCAATAATTACGTAACATGTGCGGACGCTTGGTATCTTATCTTATTAAGATTACTATTCATAAACTATTTTTCAAATAGTCAATATCGTAGGTTGATATTCTACACTTTTAATACATTCAGCAATCAAGCCGATAATGAAAACAATAATGATCCAATATGGTCCACATTTAGGTGTTTTATATTTCTTATTCATTAAATAAAATGGGGCAACAGACGTTGTACCGATGGTCGGTGTGAACCGCGTGCGCGTAATGGTCGTTGTGTCACAACACGGGTCATCACTATTGTTGTTTTCACGTCGATTCGATGCATAAATATTAATTAATAGGAGCACAAAATATAAACGGCATCGACATTACGCACTGCTATCGATTGCGAATAAAATAGTTCATTTAATTCTTCTCGCCCAAGTATTTTCGGTTTTATATAGACATTTCAAAAACTATTCGTAGTGATGTTTATATGGTATTACGGAGTCAGAGCATCGGAAACAGAAGAAATATATATTACAAAAAAAAAAAAACAGATTTTTTTTATCCATGACAAAATTATAACAGGAACATCGACAGTCCTGAGCGCGACGAAACGGGAAGAAAAACGTTGGTTCATAACAAACGTTAAAATGCAAAACGTACGCGATTCGCGTCGAAAAGTTGTAACGTTACGGTCGGACCCAGGAACGACTAGCCGACGAATAAACGCTAGTCGCAATAATCGAATCGTCGCGGTGCGCACACGGCCGAAGAGCGGTCGCGCGCGTTGTTTTAACATACGAGAGAGAGATTCAAGGAGGGGTGGGCGACGATCACACGGTTTTGCGCAGGAAACGCGGTCGAAGAGTTCTCCGCGTCTTCGTAGTCGTGAATGGTCTAATCGGCCGGTGGGCTCGCACGTTTTTTTTCTCAATGGAACACATCGCAGCAATGAACGAAGCGCGCGCGGGCACGTTTCCCTGGTACCAAGCGCGCCCGCAGGATAAAATCCCTACCCGGGGCATGATTAAAAAAAATAGATTATAATAAAATACATCTAAAAATAGATTGGAACAAAATCAAATACCATAGAAATCGGTACTCGGGAGAGTTCATATTTTTAAGCGATATACAATCATATGTAAACATTGTTAACTAATAAAATTATGTTATAGTTAATATGCGTGGTATTAAAAAGCAATGTTTTGAGACAAAAATTCCCAATAGGGGCAATGGTCTGTTTGGCCCCCTCATGCGGGCGCGCATGCCTGGCACCGCATTGTCGGAAAAATTTTTTTTGCACCGTTAATTGTATCACAATTTGTACCGATTTGTACGTACCACTAATTTCAGAATTATTACCAACGAATTTCCCATGGAAAAATCGATTTCTCCCTACGGGTGCCGGGGAAACGTTTCCACGGCATGCGGTGGGGGATATTGAAGTTTTACCGCGGCAAAAAAAATATGTTTCAAAATAAAATAATTTTTTAATAGACTATAAATAAGAATAGGTACGTACTCATAAAAGAAAATTATAATAATAAAACAGTTACGTTCCGTTAACTGTATGAAAACACGATAAACTGTTGTATTTATTTATGTAAAAAGTTATTCTGAATCAGAACTTGTGTCTGAGTCTTCTGTCTCTTCTTCATCGTTCATAATTATTAATTGTTTTTCTGAAGAATATAATTCCATCCATAATTATTCGCTTAGAAAATACCACTGGATTTGAATTAAAGCACGCATTAAATCGGTATTTTTGCTTATTCTTGTTGATTTGTGGGTGTGATTTTCTCAAAAAAATGTTATAATTTTTATTACATGTTTCTTGCGCTTCATCAGAAAGTAGTCCTAATGGTAGAAGGGTATATTTTATTACGGTTTTAAATCGGTACAGTTAATGGCGCAAAAAAAAAAAATGTGGAAAAGTTCGTTTGGTGTGATTTCGCGTGCCGGGTAAACGTTTCCCGTAGAGATGAACCAATTTTTCCCTGGAAATACGTATGGTACAAATCGGTATAAATTATAGTACAACTAATGGCACAAAAAAAAATAAATAAATATGGATTTTCCAACATTGTGGTGCCGCGGAAACGTACCCAGCACGCGTGGGCATTACTGCGGCCGGACCGTTCTCGTGACAGAAAATACGGACGAAAAATATCGGCGGCGACGATTGTGACGGCAGCGATGCGGTTGCGGAAAAGGATGTGCGAGCAGGGCCGTCCCAAGGTTTTTCGAGGCCAGAGGCAAATTAATTTGGGGGCCCTAAATTCGACCATAATAATAAGATATGATAAACAAAATACTCCCTGAGAATAACAGTATTCTTGCAAACATATTTTTCCAAATTTTAACCAATCAAGCTCATTTAAATAAATGTTCCGCATACTTACATAATAGAATTGAATATTATTCATATTGTTTATAATTCAATCATGCTCACTCGCGCGCGACTTTAATCGCAGACACGCAGTATGTAAAATTGCTCAGTGTAATCGAAGCTTTGTTATTAATTATCGTACATCAAGACTTTATGAGGGCCCCCTAGAAAATATTCCAGCAATGGGGCTTGTGGCAAAATGGTCCCATTGGTCCCCCCCTGAATGACCTTGCGTGCTTGAAAAACGTGGCCAACCCATTTTACCGTCAGAGGTGCGATGATACAACAAATTTACTCCGGTTAGGCGTCGAAAACGTCGGCATACGAGTGCGGTCACGCACCGGGTAAAGCTATGGTTTGACCGGGTAAGCGGTCACACCCGACGCGAAAGTACGAACACGAAATTAACCACGCGGCGACGATACGTCACTCTGCGAACTGTACGAGGTTGACCCGTTTGCGACGAACACGTGGGGTACGCATTCGAGTTGTCGGCGGTCTTTGACCGGGAAGGAAATTCGCGCTCGCGTGTTCGCACCCGTTTCTCACCGGTGTGTTGTGTTGGACGCTCTTCCTTCGGGTCGGGACTTCTACACGTGTTTGAAACGGAAATATAGAAAGAACACCGTACGCACGCGCGTCTCCGCTTATGCGCAGGTCACAGCTTACGATCGTAAAAGAAGATATGGCCCGATGGTTTTCGGGGCCCAGCGCAGCGTCTTACGGGGGTCTTAATATATATTAATTTATTAATTATTCATTTTAATCTATATTTATTTTATTATTTAACTGAATGTTTGCGTACTGTTGGGATTTTATTACATTTATTATTAGATAAATTGATATTCGTGATGTACGTAATTTGTGGGATCCCGTACATGCGGTGCAGCCGCTCCGCTTACCCTCCCGCTCTAGGGCTGGCACTGGATATGGTAGTACGATTGATTTTGCTGCGGAATTTCGGAAAAATACCAAAATGAACTTTGGGATAACGGTGTGCCGGAAGTATACCACATTATTCGAGCAAAATAAACACGTTGACGAGCGGATCGACATTTTCCTCGAACGGTTCATTCGTCACCGTTGTGAACACGTCCGCGAAAACAAATATTTTTTTCTGAAAGTTGTGTGAGGTCACACACTCAACGGAATTTTACAGCAATAGATTTTATTGTTTGGTTTAATTTGTTTGTTTGATTTGAAATGTTGTTTTTTGAAAAATGTAAAAAGCGCTTTTTTCCGTTGACTTTTAAGACGATATACGGTCTACGTTCGTAAAAGTCTTCTTCCACCTACACCGAAAGGCGACTATTCACCGACACAACTGTACATATATCATCACAAAATAATTACTCGAACTCTGAGCACTCTGCAAACGCAGTCCTTACATTGTACTAAAATACTACCGATGACAGATGATAATGTTGTGTTTTATACGCTTATATAGTCGTACTACGACAGTCAACGATGCATAGGGTCACATGGTGTTGAACACATTACGCATGCATTATAAACCGTCGGAGGGAAACGGATTTTTATGAATGAACAAAACAGAAAAGGTGGTCAATGCGGGCACCCTTACTACTACATAATCTGAATAGACCTTCGATTTCGTCCACCCAGCTGGGAAAAATAGAAGAGGAAAAAAAACGTTATTTTTTTTTATTTCTATCGTTGCACGCTGCACACAGTACGTAGTACTAATAGATCGATAACGGTTTTAATTGGACACTCAGGACTTTTTGTGCGCTACCGAGTCTCGTAGAGTACATTATTACACGTACTTTACGAGGTCATTTCCTGTTTCGAATTTTTATCGAATCAGATTCATCGCGTACAATTTATTGCAGTTCCGATGGTTAACTACCGTTCGGTCTCACGTTGTTGTACTGTAACAAAGGTTGATGTCTTATGTGAATGATTTATTTACACTACTACGCTAGCGTTGAATAAATGTCTTTCTCTCGCAAAAGGTTTGATGAACATTTCCGAATTAAATCAGTGTTAACCGTGCACTCGACACCGCAATTCGAAAACTAAAAACCATGTTGTTTCGTAAAATAATAATTGTACGTAATTGCCGTCGCATTTGGGGAAACGAAAAAACGCCGAAACGTCAATTATCAATGAAAATTTTAAGCGCGAGGACCTCAAAGGCGCGAGATCTTGGACTAATGCCCCGTGTCGCCTCCTCCTAACGCCAGCCCCGATACGTGTATTGTATTGACCCTCGATCGCGTGTACTTTTCGCGAAGACCGTAATCAGTGCACGTATCGTCGCGAGTTGGCCGTAAAGCAGGGTCCACGCCAGAGCAACATATAGCAATATTTTTAGTTGAAACAAGTTGCTAATCCAAAAGTTGTCAAACGTTTCGTTATATTCCCAAATGTGGTCGCATTATCCTGTCAACAGAAGTATTTACTTGTCTTGTGTTCCGGTTAAAAGTGAAACACGGCATGTTCCCACTGAAAAATATTAAATTCATAATTAATAATTCCCGAATAAAAACCATACGACCACACGGGTTGCGATTCGCGTACCGGGACCGTATGGTTTTTATTAATAGATATTCGTGATATTCATAGTACATAATTCGCGGGTCC